ACCTTCATGTTGTACTTTACCTCCTGTATTTATCACAGTAACTATACTAGTGTTCAGTTACCTTCCTGTTGTACCTAACTTCCTGTAGTAATCACAGTAACTATACTAGTGTTCAGTGACCTTCCTGTTGTACTTTACTTCCTGTAGTAATCACAGCAACTATACTAGTGTTCAGTGACCTTCCTTTTGTACTTTATTTCCTGTAGTAATCACAGTAACTATACTAGTGTTCAGTGACCTTCCTGTTGTACTTTATTTCCTGTAGTAATCACAGTTACTATACTAGTGTTCAGTGACCTTCCTGTTGTACTTTATTTCCTGTAGTAATCACAGTAACTATACTAGTGTTCAGTGACCTTCCTGTTGTACTTTATTTCCTGTAGTAATCACAGTTACTATACTAGTGTTCAGTGACCTTCCTGTTGTACTTTATTTCCTGTAGTAATCACAGTTACTATACTAGTGTTCAGTGACCTTCCTGTAGTACTTTATTTCCTGTAGTAATCACAGTAGCTATACTAGTGTTCAGTGACCTTCATGTTGTACTTTATTTCCTGTAGTAATCACAGGTACTATACTAGTGTTCAGTGACCTTCCTGTTGTACTTTACTTCCTGTAGTAATCACAGTAACTATACTAGTGTTCAGTGACCTTCCTGTTGTACTTTACTTCCTGTAGTAATCACAGTAACTATACTAGTGTTCTGTGTGCTTCCTGTTGTACTTTACTTCCTGTAGTAATTTTCCTTATACAGGTGTCGCTGTTGTTCCATATCTACGAGGAATTTTCCTTTATACATGTGTCGCTGCTGTTCCATATCTACGAGGAATTTTCCTTTATACATGTGTCGCTGCTGTTCCCTATCTACGTGGATTTTTTTATACGTGTGTCGCTGTTGTTCTCTATATAAACGTGCTTGTCTTTCTGCCTCTTGAGTTATTGTTACAGTAGTAAATAGGCAATAAATTTGAAAATGAATAGTTTTTTTAAGTATTACGCAATTTTATATATGACATCTTTTCCTGGATGTGAATGAGTAATATGAGCATGTTTGACCTTTCTATCTACTTATCACTATCAGTATTGATTTAGCGGAATCACTTTTATCCTTAATTTGCTGTATTTTCCCCAAACAGATACATGTGATGGTTATATCCATGCTTCCGTTTTTCACCACCATCAGATGTTTCATTATGTCACCTGTTTACAGGTATATTTTTGTAATTAAAAATTCTTTAGGATATCGCTCTATTTCTACGTAACAGAAATAGGTTCAAACAATTAATTAACTACACATAGAAAAGAGACCAATTTCAGACGTCACATTTCGGGTAACTGACAAATACGCTTTAGGTACATTGTTGCTTTTGCTAAGAACGTTTTGTACGAGAATCGCTCCCCTTGACTGAACCGCTATGCTCCAGTGAACAAATTACAATTCTGATTGAATCAAAAGGTGAAAACGAAAATACCAATATGCCACCATAATGATAATGAAACTCAACTTAATAATACTTATGTAAACACGGCGACTCCTGAAAAGAAGAACAAGACCAGATGTTCCGAAAAAGTAAGCGTCTTTTGCTTTATCGACTACACCTGCAATATAAACCTTGACTAGTCCAATTAAGTAGCATCGCGTTCTCGAGTATAAAACAACGAAAACAATAGGCAATCTAAGAACATCAAACACGTTCCAGCATCATATCGCACAAAGAAATAGAATACGTGTATTTAGCTATGAGATCGGTCTGACGATCGGAAAAAGTCCCTATATTTTCCATCAACCTGCAACTCTTTAAACCGTGTGTAATGAGTTTATCTCCAGTTGACGAAATCGTAATATAACGAACAGACCCTTGAATATCAAATCAAATGCAACATGCAAACACCGTAGGTTGGAGATGTATTTTAGAAAATTCCTTCTCATCAAAAATGGAGTTTAATATGGATATAGGGGTTTCACAAGTATTTTAGACAAAAAATATCGAATAATGAAATTAAAGATATTTCTCCACATTATGTCAGGAGATCCTGCTTTAAACGTGTGTTGATGTAAAACCAACACAAGATTTTGAACATGAAGATCTCAATCATTATCCCAACATAATGTGCATTTTCTATCTATACAGTTTCGATATTTATTTTTTAACCATTTGTGTGAACTAAAAATTTTGGAAGTAAATGTAATACTTTTAAAAAATAACTACAGATAACAAAAAGATACAACTTGGTTGACTTCGCGAAAATCACGGAACAATCATTTAAAGCACACAAACTGTACTGCATCCGTATGTTATAATTGAAATAATGAATGTTTCTTAGCACCTCTCCACCAAACACCCACGTACATTGTTTACCAATGGGTGTATCAGTATCTGTATCACATTAACAATAACAAGGCTGAACCTCCTCCTCATTATTATGCGACTCGAAATGGAACAATACGTAACACCATTGCTTATTTCTCTACCCACGTGAAATTACCACTTATTTAGCACTGGTCAAGCTGAAAAGGTCTCGTGCATTTTTAACATTCCTCAACATTCCAAGTATATATTAAACCATTAAGAAATCTTTTCTAAGGTTTCGTGTTTTATATTTAATGCATAAGGACCATTAATTATAACAGTCATCAATATACTAGTTACTTGTTCATTTCATAGACAAAGTTCACTTTGTTTTCTTACGTTTTAGCCGGTGAAATATAGACAAAAACATCTATCATCTCTGCAGGAATGACATCAAAACACACCACTAGTGCAAACATACTTTTTTTCCAGTGACTATTGCAGGGCATAGCTTTCAAGTCACACGTGTGGCAGAATATAGGATACGGCTTTAAATGAGAAACAATCAAATATCCTCTAGATACTTGCCTAACTAGCTTCTATATATTGATGATATCCTGTCTATAAATATCAACAAGGCACTTTCTGACCATGTTCATCTTCTATACCAACTGCAATTGGCAATAAAGGACACTTGGTAATAATTATATAAGATGACCATAGCCACAACAACTGATCTGGGTACACTGGTGAACAGTAGAGTTTGATCAAAATCAATATTACCAGAATTTACATTTAATCATTTAAAAAGGATATTAACATAATTTCTTTTATGCATGCTGCAAAATGCTTCTTTACCATTATGTAAATAGTGTAAATACCTAACTATACTGTTGCACTCGATTATGAAAAAAGTCAGTCTCTTGGAACGATGTACATAAACCTTGAACTTTGCGTGGTAGGAGAGGTAAAATATCATAGATCCTTATCACCGGTTTGCTTGTTATATTGATAATAACGATGATTCTTTATTCTCAGAAGGTAACACATTTAGTTAAAGTATGAAAATCTCCCACATGATCCCCGCAAATAATAAATGATAAACATTTATACTAACAATCACCCAGAAGCCTATATACAATGCCATGTCTAACACTCTGCAACTTGTGGTAGAACAACCTAATGAAGTAATGTGAGGTTAGAGATATTTACTGTGGATTCACCGCTTATTTCAATCCTTTCCTACAACGAAACCAAATCATCACAGGGAAGGCTTAAACCAAGCAGTGTGATATGCATGAACGATTTCTCTATTGTGACATGGCCATTTCGAAATGTAATTATCTCTTTTTCCCCAGCCTATAGTTTATCTGTCGTAGTCGATTCGATATAAATGGACTTGTTCTCAATATCAGGATTTGCGAGCAAGACATCGACGGACGACTGATAACCTTATAGCACAGGGTGTTTAGAGATGGAGATTGATGAAAATGATAAGGAATTATTCTATTCCCTTGTGAAATTGGACTTCATTGATGCTCGTTAGTTAGCCTGGTGGTTACGTTATTGTATACCTTGTTCTCATTTTTGAATGTGACATAACTCTCTTGAATTGACCACGGTATACATGACGGGTGTCGTCAATAAATTAGAAGACGCTTACCCTTTTGGAACGTCGTATCTTGCTCTACTTGTTATTTATATCCACCGACAGCTTTCTTTTATTCATATACTGCCCACATTTCATATATTTTGCATTTAAATGAAAACTCTGTTGAAATATCGGTATATTTTGTTTTTCGTTCTTGAGCATTTGTGTGACCCTAGGTAGAAGAAGTGTATCAATACAAAAGGAAAGATGTTAAAAGTCCTAAGCACGTGTTTAAATATAAACGAGGAGGTGCATTTGCATCTTTTTAGCTCAACATTTTTTAATGCAAATGTGTACATTCGTAAGAATTTTGACGTCACATATAGAGATAAACCTCGAGCAACCAAACGTCATGTTCTACAGCTTCTCTACACATTCTCTACCAGTCTATGCCTTCATCTAACTTTCACTGGAGACCAATATGTTTTCAATCAGCATTAGCTGATTTTACTTAAATTTAGAATTCATGAGTGCTTTACGAATATATTTACTGCAGTTTGGTTTCAGTGATGTTCCAAACATATGGAAACAAGTTTAGAATTCGATTTGACAAACTGTACGGAATAGTGATTAAATTGTACCAAGGCCACTGTCTGTTATTCATTTTAACGTTTTTACACTGACATGGTTGGTAAAAGTATTTATATGTAGCTGACATGAGGAATAAACTCTCCACAGGTGTACCCCATCAACAGCAGCACATTCAGCCACGTGCAACACACACTTGGCGTGCTTGGACAGATAAACTGATTGGAATGGCCAGTGTATAAGCTCTGTGCTCTTAAACTGTTTTGATATATAGACAGAAAAAACCCGATATCTATATCAACGAATGCTTAGCATCAGATATTAAGACAGGTAACGTTATACAAGTCGAGAGTTTTGGGAAAGTGAACATTTGATTATCTGTGATGAAATTATTATATCAGTTTTACTAATAAATTGAAACCGATTCCGTGAAAATATATCAACAATCTTTGTGATTTCAGGTAGCAAGGGCGCGCCACATTCGAGATTAATCATGTAATATTTGGTTCGAGAATGGACAATATTGAGGTATGAGGAACAAGACCGGAAGTATTCAAGACGATGAAGAAAAAATGCCGGAATATAATACAACTGCAGTGGTGTTTCTTGGAATTTTCAGTGTTTTGTTTCTAATGACATGTATTTTGTCAGCCATCAAAGCAGTCAAGTAAGTCCATTGTCATACAAGATACAGGTAAAAAACGTAAATATCCAATACATAATATTGAATTATGAATTCTCATGAACAAGATAGGTGTGATCTGAAAGAGTGATTCTATCATGTACACCATAACTCGGATCATTTCTACCATAAAATAATCACACACCTACACCCTAAATTATCAAATATGCATTTTATACTGGTGGATGTTTTCATCTTATACGTTTAGGTAATTTTAGGTAGAGAATCGATCACCATTAGCAACTGAACCAGTTCCGGAGCACTGTGGGAAGTACTGCCGGTGGGAATCCCTTTGTAAACAGTTTAATGGTCATTTACACAACCGTGTCCATCCAAATTTGGTTATTTATCTTTGTTGCTTTAGAATGACCAATTACATTCATTAAGATAATTAGTAGGATAGGTTGCTAAGTTTTTATTTACGATCGTGGAACCAAAGATATATAAAATGGTTGAATATTATTAAGTAATGAGATCAATTTCTTCTATTACGTTCGGTATATAGCTCTCAAAAGGGATTTCCCTTGAGATTTATCGTTATAGAAACAGTAAATTGTTGGAGGTAAAAACTTAATATCATCTGTAACAGTTGTCACTTTTGATAGAATGTTCGTTGTCGCTTATAGCTGTCTTAAATCAACATTTTAAAGGATTGAACTTCAATTCCTGGTCAGTAACAAATAAATTTGATATGAATCATTGACAACATCGATCCAGACAAACCTGACAGTCGGTTCTAATGCTAAACAATCTGAACGTGTTTCTGTTCTAAGTGACTTTAGCTTATTATGACAATTAAAGATAAAACTAAGCAGATTTAACCAATCATCCGTAAGGATATCAATGTACAATAACTTTTAGTTATTTTCACGCAGAAAGTTCTTTTTACACTTGCTGTATGCCTTAAAACAGTTTTAATGAGCTTTGACATGATTGCAATTTAAATTGATTTATCGTGGATGGATTGATAGAGTCATGTTACCTTCGGTGAGAGTCGTTTACACGCTCTTCAGATTTACAGTAACACATATTTGCACTTAACCCTCTTCGTGTTTCATCATTTTGAAATAAACCCTAATGCTTTATATCTAGTAAGAGAACTAGATATAATGCATTCGGGTTTGTATCAAAATGATGACACTAGCATTACTGAAGTGGTGAATTTTAATTCAGAAAGATTTGTATCTTCTAAATGTCTGATTTTCATTGGCAAAAATACCACATGTCTAAAACTAGATATTCCGGTTTTGGCCTCAAATAACGACACGATATTTCTCACTGACGAATATCTCCCAATCAAGAATCCAACCAGCTGCGCAATTGTCGTCCTTTCAGTTCCCTGTGCCACATTTCTATATGTAAAATATTGACTTTCAAAATAGTAACCAACAGCAAAAACATAATCCACTTACGTAATATACATCATAAGGGTTTGTTAAACACGTGTAGTGAAGATTAGTATCGATGTTAATTAATTATGCGCGATACCAGAAGCAGGTCATTAATTTTTTCGCCTATATCAGCTACCTAGTCACATTCAATGGTCAGGGTTTGCGTGCGTCTCTTTCTCTCTCCCCCTCCCCCACTCTCTCCAGAAATAATTGGCGGCGACGGAAAGTTGTTCGCGTGTGGCATGGTTTCACATCTACATTGTAGGCAAAAGGTCATCGTATTTGTATACTGTAATAAACTGGTTAAGTGCTGTTCTCTTATTTATTAAGGTCTGTAGTTTTAAAACCGTTAGTCTAAAGGTTTCCAATGACGTCAGACTCCCACGCGGTAGCGCGAGCGAAGTAGGGCATGTCCTGAGTTAAAGGGAAGAAGTGATGGAATATATTTATTTATAGCATTTATTATTAGACATGACATATACGGTACATGGTATATCCTAAAATCTACTTTTTGATAGTTCTGTTTGATTGCGTTAGGTCACGCCAGTGTTGTTATTCGGTAAGCTTTATTTTATGTAGGTATATACATGTTCCTTTGTATATAAGACTTTATACTTTTGACATCTAAACACAAGCCCAACATTTTTATATCTAAGACATGATGGAATAAGTTCATATTCAAAGTCAAAATCGAAGCAACGAAGATTTTATATTAATCGATTATTGAAGCTGATCGTATAAAGAGATTGACTTTTGGGATATCAATATCGATCGTCATGTCTGTAATGGAAGCCTTTTCTGAGAGTATCTGTATTTATCAGGGCTTTATCGATTTCTGTGAATGAGCATGATATATTTCTCTACTTGATTTGATACATTTTGTTGTTCTGCAGAGACAGGAAAAAAATAAAATCTAGGATTGAAGCCAAGCGACGACTGCGTTTAGAGCAATCCGCTTATGAAAATCCAGAAAATGGAGCTATTCAAAAAGGCCTCGAGGAGGAAGAAAGTGTTACTTTAAACAAGCGCGAGAAAGACGCAGACACAACTGCAGTATCCTCGGACGCCAACAATCATTCTCACGTGTTCCGAACAGTATCTGCAGACGATGTAATTATCGTTGAACAAAAGAAGAATTTAAATAATGTTGACAACAGTGGTGTTTCCCATTCGAAACTGTCGAGTTCTGTACCAGACCTTCAACAAAAAATATCTCCAGAATGTCTGGCAGTTAAAAAGCAAATTCGAAGAACTTCCTATGCAATTGCTATAGACAGTCACTCATGGCTACCGAAGGACCAACCACGCTTTGCAAACTCATCAACTATAATAAAAACTTATAACCTGAAGCCAGGCACAACGAAATCGTATGAAAACAGAGCATTTGACCCGAATGATACACAGTGAGACATAACGTCTTTGTTGTTTTGTTTACAACATTTTATTATACAGACACATAAAAACGTTTTCCTTAATGAATATTTATTAATTACCGGAGACGTTTAAAGTATTCCTGATTACTGTCAAGTCGGTTGTATATGATGGGTTTCCTACAAAAGACGTAGCATCTGTCGTTTTTCTTCCAATGTCAGCATTTCACCATTATTGAACTGTGCATGAACTTGTAAATCATAACTTTGTTGATATCTTGAAAGTTGTTTGAATACTCATACATATGTAAACAGTTTTATATAAACTTATTCTTTGATCCAGTGATGACGTGTTGAATTATTATGATACTGACGTGACGAATAAGTAGCTATGTTCTGCCATGTTGTGTAGTAGAATGCGTAATGTCCTCGTGTTGGATGCCTCCACTTTTGAATCTGTCATGATGTATGTAGTAAAATGCGGAATGTTCTCGTGTTGGATGCCTCCACTTTTGAGTCTGTCATGATGTGTAAGAATTGATTTGTGTTGTCAGTATGATTGAGAATATCCTCGTGTTTGATGCAACCCACTTTTGAGTCTGTCATGTTGTGTGTAGTAGAATGCGGAATGTTCTCGTGTTTGATGTGTCCACTTTTAAGCCTGCCATGATGTGTAGTAAATGATGTTTTGTCAGTATGAATCCGATATATCTTTGAGTGTGTTCCGTCCTTTGAGCCTAGCATGCTGTGTGGTATATGATGTGTGCTGTCAGTATGAATCAGATATGTCTTTGAGCGTGATGTTCCGTCCTTTGAGCCTAGCATGCTGTGTGGTATATGCTGTGTGCTGTTAGTATAAATCAGATATGTCTTTGAGTGTGATGTTCCGTCCTTTGAGCCTAGCATGCTGTGTGGTATATGATGTGTGCTGTTAGTATAAATCAGATATGTCTTTGAGTGTGATGTTCCGTCCTTTGAGCCTAGCATGCTGTGTGGTATATGATGTGTGCTGTTAGTATAAATCAGATATGTATTTGAGTGTGTTCCGTCCTTTGAGCCTAGCATGCTGTGTGGTATATGATGTGTGCTGTCAGTATGAATCAGATATGTATTTGAGTGTGTTCCGTCCTTTGAGCCTAGCATGCTGTGTGGTATATGATGTGTGCTGTCAGTATAAATCAGATATGTCTTTGAGTGTAATGTTCCGTCCTTTGAGCCTAGCATGCTGTGTGGTATATGATGTGTGCTGTCAGTATGAATCAGATATGTATTTGAGTGTGTTCCGTCCTTTGAGCCTAGCATGCTGTGTGGTATATGATGTGTGCTGTCAGTATGAATCAGATATGTATTTGAGTGTGTTCCGTCCTTTGAGCCTAGCATGCTGTGTGGTATATGATGTGTGCTGTCAGCATGCTGTGTGCTGTATATGATGTGTGCTGTCAGTATGAATCAGATATGTATTTGAGTGTGTTCCGTCCTTTGAGCCTAGCATGCTGTGTGGTATATGATGTGTGCTGTCAGTATGAATCAGATATGTATTTGAGTGTAATGTTCCGTCCTTTGCGCCTAGCATGCTGTGTGGTAAGAATTAGAATAAGTTGATCTCCTCACGATGCGTTGTATGTTATTTGTTGTTGACAATATTAATTAGACAACAGTCTCGTGTGTATGTATGAGTCTTTACAGTTCGTGCTTGTGTGAGTGTTGTTTTCGCCTTTCCACAATTTAAAGGTAGCATCATTACAAAAATGACAATGGTGCTGAAAGCATTCTTGACACATTAGCGATGTTTCCATCACTCTGGAAAACAGGGGACATGGTCACAAATACGATTATGGTGTTGCAAACCTTCCGGATAACGTTTGTAATATCCCTTACTCTTCGAGATAATACTAACATATTTGCAACGTTTTAAATCATAATTCTTGGATTTGACTTGTGTTTATAACATTTTAAGTCCTACTTTCGGAATATATTCCATATGGTCTAGAACTATGGTGGGTGTTTATGTAAAAGTATTCTGCCTTAGGATCTAAATGTGGTGGTGTTATTCAGTTTTTGCCTAAATTATATTCCAGTGTCTAGTGTATATCTGTATTTCTGTGTTCTGGAATACATTGGATTTTTTGAAACCAAGAACTGAGAAACAGTTTACTGACAGCAGTTTGATATTCATTTCTTATTGTGTATGTGTCTACTGTATCGTCTACGTAAAGAACCTTCGGTAATGTTATCTAGAGTTGATGCTCCAAGCGTGTAGTGTTAAATGTTGTGACTATAGATCCACTGACATACTACCATATACCTGCTGTAAAATTTGGTTAAAATAATACTTAATGGTGGGTGTTGAGTGTCCCTTGATCGAAGCTTGGTTGACCTTGGGTGACCATTTGACATTATCCGCCGCGAGGACATTAAACCCTTAACAGCCAGCTGTATCCGGACAGAATACCTGAACTAATTAATCACAAAGTCACGATATGACAAATATCTTCCTACTATTAGCATCTAATTCAAAACCACGTTATCATTATCACTTGGGTCTCGATTATGTGCTTCCATGAGACCACAAATAGTGACTATAGGTCCACTGTGAAATACGTGCACTTATTTGTCTAGCATTTATTGCTATCTTAGACGTGTTACAATACTTACAGTATCTACCTTGTAATGATGTGGAGGATGCCGTCAATGGTGAATTGGATGGCTGACATTTTAATTTAAGATTTGTTTCTCAGTTCTTGGTTCATCTTTTCATTTTCCCATCCAAAACGTTGGATGGCATGGATTGTTCCTCCTTGTACGCCAACCAGCTTAGGAAGGGAGACAACTCTAGTGAATTTGATGAGATCAACTCATAATGTTGAAAATAATAAAGTAATTCTAAATTGATTTAAAGAAATCTCGAAAAAAAATGGAATAAAAATGTCTTCATTTGGAGCTTAATATGTCATATAAATAAGACCATTTTGATTTTTTCCATTATACAATTTACAAATATAATTGTTGCAAATGTTTCTAAGTCATGAGAAAATCATGCAAAAACATCATGATAATAAATATCGAATATACGAGAGAAATACTAAGCAACCCATATAAGGAAACATCAGGACAACACTACTTGTTAACTTCACGTTAAAAACAAAAGTTGTTTTCCTTTACAAAAAAAATCATGGGAGGAAACAAGTTCTGCGTTCCACATGTTATAATGTTTTTACATGTATGTACTTAGTAAGATACGCGTGTTTATTCGTAGTATTACGAAAGTTACTTACAGCATCTGAAAAAAATCTCAATCATGAGAGTGCTTTGGAAGAACAATCTTCTACATTGACAACGTGTTGGAGGAGGTATTTCAGTTATATCCGGAATATATGTATATTACATACAAACATGAAGGATAACCATATTGACCTACGCATTGTGATAATAAATATCTAGGCAATGATGTGTGTGACAATAGCTATGTAAATATAAGTCACACCAAATGCAGTTGCCATAAAAATTTCAGTCACACCAACAACAGTTGTCGTGTAAATCTAAGTCACAACGACAATAGCTGTCATGCCGATTACAGTTACATTTACAGCGGTAGTCATGTTAATCTTAGTCACATTGACAACAGTCGTCATATCAATATCAGTCACATTGGCAACAGCTGTCATATCAATATCAGTCACATTGGCAACAGCTGTCATATCACTATCAGTCACATTGACAACAGTTATATTAATATCAGTTGTCATATTAATATTAGTCACATTGAAAACATTTGTCATATCAATATCAGTCACATTGAAAACATTTGTCATATCAATATCAGTCACATTGACAACAGGGGAAATTTCCCACCACGATATATGATAAGTCTGGTAATTTCGATTCCTCTGTTTTGACTTTTCCTTCCTCTTTACTTCTAGGATGTATTTATATCGCTATCGGTTCGTCAATAAAGGGGATGAAGGCATAGGATAATGACCTCAAGTTCCTTATTGTAAATTGTCCATTTCTGGATAGCATCCTTGCGTCCCCAAGCTATAGTGTCTACATGATGATTCGATATTTTATGGCCTGCTTATATTATCATGATTTTCGACAAATAACGAACAAGCTAGTAACACAAGGGTTCAAAATATGATGATGAAAGTTATGGGGAAGTTGAACGATCGTCAAAGCGATCTCATTGAGAAATATTCTATTTCTTTCTGCGATATGAATCTGGACGTGTTCTCATTAGTTTGGCTATTAGTAGTTTGTTGTCAGTTCCGCAGTTGTATACCTTGTTCTCATTTGAGAACGTGGCATTACTTACTTGGATCGACCAAAATTTACCTGGCAGGTGTCGTCCATGAAGCTGACTCTGTAACACCTGGACTTAATCTCCTTGTACTTTTTCAAGAGTCGTTGTGTAGATATTTCTTTTGGTCATGTTTTTGACCGGCGTTTCGACGTTAACGTCTATTTTTTGGTCGGTGCAATAACGCGGCCGTCTGCTGAAAATGTACCAAAAAGTATATATCGCATTAATATGCCAATCAAAATGTCTAGTGACATTATTCTGGGATATTCCAGCCTTCAATATGCCAATAGCACATACAGGACATGTACCTGCACACTGCATTCCACCATAACAATTATTTTCTGGTACAGTGCATAGAATAGTCTATTGACTTTACATTGTTCTCTTGTTTACGCATTTCCAAAGTTCGCAACTCCAAAGAAAATGATGCGAACAAAAATACTTATCGCTGAAAATTATATCCTGGCTACTTTTATGACATTTTTGGTATACATAATTTAGTTTTACGTTCAAGGTTTCTTTCGTAGTTTAATACCAAATATCATCATGGTGCTAACGTTGGTGTACTATGTAACCTGTTTTACATTAGCCAGCTTTATAATTTATTTTTATGTTTTTTTTTTTTTTTTTTTTTTAGCTGGCGAATCACGAAAAGCGTTAGTGGTAAATCATAACGGACATTACAATGACTGCAATATATCATGCAACAAATGCAGATGTTTCCACGTCACAGACATCATATCGAAACGAGTGCGGCCATTTTGGAATCGTCATTCAAATTAAATCATGCTTAAGCATTGACAAGTAGAGCCACTCTCTGGTTATTCATTCGTGAACTTAACCTCAATTTGTATCATATCAGACATGCCTACACTAGCTTCCATTAACCGTTAATAATAACCGCTCTGCGTGAGCGTTAAGGTGGGAAAGTAAATACAATTTTTTTTCTAAACCATGAACATTAGGTCGCTTAACTAACGATACTGTTACCCAGCATACTGTTTCCAGATCGATAGAGACAATTTAAGCATCAGACCTGTCTGGCTAGGGATCATATCAGAGGATACTGATGATGGAGACAACATGTAGGGCCGAAACCGTGTGATCACCAGGATCAACACTAAGTTTAAGGATAAACTTATACATAAATAACAGGGAAATAACGGATGAATTTAAACCTGGCCTGTTATTTTGAAAGACCTGATATCGATGTTAATTTGCATCGTGCCATTTGATAAAGAAGTACTGAAACAAGGAATTACAATGACATATTAGAAATGATACAATATTGTCTAAAATTCGAGATGTGTTGGGATTGTGAAGAAGGTCTAAAAGTTTTGTTCAGATTATAAGATAATGGTACCCTAATCTGGAAGACAACAAATAGTTAAAGAGTTTTGTTGCACTATTTCTTCAATGATCATTTTCAGTTTAAAGAAAGATGAATTTGTTTTGCGACATTTCATTTTTTACATGTATATTTATCATATTTGTGGCTAGTGTGAATGGACAAAACGTCACTGTCAAAAATTCCACTTTCGTGCTGAAATGGCAATGCAATTTGCCACTCTCTGATGCGCCTTATGGAGTTATTGGATCGGTTTCCCTCATAAGGTGTGCTTCCCGATGTCTTGAGAACAACAATATGTGTGTTTCTTTCCTGTTGAACAAGACTTCGACGACCGACGTCTTTTGCGGTTTTCACCAACATTCTCCCATTTCCCCTTGCCCTAACTCTAATGTGAGTGGGTTCTACACCTTATATGAAAAAGCAGATGCCGACTCATTAGTGCAACTGGAATCAACGACCACACTGGAAACCACAACGCAGTCTGTGCCTTCTACGACAGTCACTACCACTCAAGATGCACCTACAACGACGGTAAGTCCGCCTGGTTTACTACAGTGTTACATGTATTCTTACAAAATAAAAAATATGGTATACAGATGGAAGCGTCAAATGTTCCAATATCTTAAGCATTATATTTATTGACGCTCCGCCTATTGATGAATTTATTGTTATATTGGTTTCAGTTTTAAGCATTGAAGAGGGTTTGAATTGATTATATGAGATATGTTTGTAATTGTTTTTCTATTTATTCTGATCTGTCGTTTTACATGTCAGCAAGTATAGAATACACGTGGAAAGTTACTCCAGTATCAGTTCAATCTGATCAATTAAAGGGATGTTTATTAAATGCGCCCAAAGTACCTCTGTTGTTTGTTCTGTCTTCCCTCGCGCGTGTAAAAAAACAGTTAGGATTTAATGTCTACATAGCAAAATCATGCTAACTTGGGAACTTTGGTATTTATTCAGCAAATGTTTCAAAACAGCGGATTGCTGTTGGACATCGCTCATTAAATCACCTTTTTCCGAAACCCAAACTTTAATGCTCTATATATCGACCTACAATGAGCAAAGTTAACAATATAGATAATTAATTTTAATTACCGTGATACCAATCGCATGCGAAATCAATAATATCTGCTGAAGACCTTTCGAGTTTCTTAAGTATTAATGTTATTGTTTATATTAAAATTATGTTGGTATTTTCTCGATGCTTTGCATTACGGCCCTAATAGTATCCTGTGCTATGTTCAAATCCAGAATGCACATTGTAACAAGCGAAGTATTGAAGTTATTGTGGAGCGGATTTTTTCTATCTTTGACTCGTAACACGTATTGTAAGAGCTGTCAACAATATTATTTATATCTTAATGTCATATCCTGTTAATGCTGTTAGCCTAGTGTTTGTTGCAACCTTTAACATATCCCAGCTGCTTTGATGCCTACAGAATTTATATTGTAATAATGTTCCTGAATGTTGAGAAAGATCAGGAATTTATGTCTCTAAATGAGCACCTTGCTGGTGCTGCTTGCTATGTTATCTGACTCCACCGATGAACACGAGAGACTACTGAATCTGTATGATTAAATCGATCAATGATAGTTATATGTATATATTTGAATCACTATTTTTTTCAACAAATCTAATTACATTAAAAAAATCGTTTGGAACGGTTGGCATTTAATAGGCATAACTGTATAAATTATCATTTAAGTGTGGAAAAAACAAGCGTTGATTTTGCTGCTGTAAACTTTCATCTATAACACTACTGCTGATTGCCTTGACTGTTTCACCACCAATGCACGAAGCGTGCCTTATTTATGTACATTACACACTCAGTATAAAATATCTGAACAAACTATCCATCATTGTCCATTTCACAAATTCCAAATTTGTATGACTGATGTCGTCAAAGGAAGTAGAATACGCTTGACCTGCTGCGACGTATCGTCTTATCATCCCTATCAGAATATCTCTATTGTTCTTATCTTGTCCTGGATTTATCCATTGTGAAATGGAATCACGATTGTTTTAAATACTCGACAATGTTTTTCATGGAGAGTTTTTTCCAACCTTAGAGTAAATACTAGACTAATAATGAAGATATCTTGCTGTCGGGTTGTTATTCCTTACGACCCTAATGGTGTCCTCTGCTAGTCTTCAAGCAAGAATGCACATGGCAACAAGTTAACGATACAGAACGCTACATGTACTTTAAGGGACATCAGAGTAAAAACAATGAGATATCTATGACGATCGTAAAATGTCCTCATAATTTTCATCAACCAAATGATGACATCACTTACATTTTACATCGATATTACAATTAGCAAACGTACTTAAGGATGTTAAGAGAAGCTGGTGTAAATGTTAACACGATATTTTTTTCATTCTTTTTATCATAGATTCTCTGATAACAATCAACTCCTTTAGTTATTACGTAAAACACATCTGATCATTTGGTTTTAACTTATGCCTTAAACTTAAAGCCACAACTTTATTCAGATCATTTGACATGCCCTATATCATGTTTATATGCGACCCTTTTTAAATCGGTACGTCTGACAAAACAATTGTATTACCGTAACCATGTCTGTAGTTTTCAGATACGGTACCTGATTTGAAAATACACAGATATTGATATTCAGATCAATTTTTAGGACAATACTCAACGTATTTCATGTTTAAATTGGTACGTCTGGTAAAACAGTTGTGTTATCGTAACCATAGATATTTCAGAAAATAACGTAGTTTTATTCAAAATATAATCATTTAATCAAAATAAACGAGTGACTTGGAAATCAGTCAAATAACGAGTAAAAGCATCACTTTGAAGTTCGATTGTATGCAATGTGTTATTCACGTTCTAGTGGCTACGTGTCCAGAATGATGACGGCTCGTATTCGGGGTTACTATTCCTTGTATTCAAAGTAATTGCTATTTATTTATTCATTCATTTTTTAAACATTCCGCTTGTATAATTACTTGTATTGTAACATTATTGATTGATTTTTACGAATAGGTAGCATTATGTGTTGATTGCTCACGCTTTCGTGTATAATTAATGTAATTAAGCTTTTAGCGTAATTTGAGAACGACGTAAGCCATATAATGTTAATATCGAAATTCGCTAAAACATGGTTAGTATATCAATAATTGTTTTCCTAACTTTTACTTTTTCATGTACTTATTACAATGTGAATTACCTTCATTTGTGTTTACGAAATCAAATTGTTTATTTATCTTCAGAATAATTGAGGGTCTTACAACCGACACCGTAGTATATCGTACCTCACGCGCAGTTATTAGTTTTAAAATTGATAGTGATTGTTTCAGCTTTTTACAATTTCAAAAGTGGCCATTTTAAATTCCATCATCAAAATATCAGTGGGAAAAGTGGATAACCTCAGATACAAGTAATATGATCGATTCATGTAAATCATCTTCAATATAAATTTACGATAATTATCCATTCTTCATACGGTACTCACAACAAAACTTAAGTGAATCCTAAATGGTTTTTTTTATTAATTTATTGTTAGCCTCAGTCGCTTCTAAGGTTTTAAACTTTTGGCCTTTCGTGTCACTGACGAAACATTGAAAGGCGGAACAACTGTGTGATGCAGTTTAATTCATTTTTGGTGCTTGTATAATTCTAAATGCGTATCAAGAATGCAGTTTTAATCAAATCAAGTTTTAAATGTTTGTTCTGGTAATAAAAGTTAGATTTAAGAAAGCATTTTAAAAGTATTTCTTTACTTTTGTAACATTCTGGCATCCCCAACCTTTATCCATATATTCTATAAATATATATATGTATATAAATATCCTATATATAAATATATCTATATTCAACTGCATGTTTGATGAGGAGAAATCCCCCTTTCAAATGTTTAAAGTATCAACCCAACCTACAGTGTGGTGTTTAAATGTTGCGGTTGATTCGATATTCTATGGCCTGGTCTTACTCTCCTTGTACTTTTTCAGGTGTGTACGTGTAAATCTGTCTTTTGTTCAAATTTTGCCATAGTTCTATACACGTGTAACAGAAAATAATAATTTTTTTACATATCATTCTTGTTTTCCCCTAAATTACAAATACTCTTTAATTGTTTAGCGACATACTGTGATAACAAAACGAAATCATGATAAAAGCTAAATTTTCATTTGAACGAGTATATAGCTCCATAGAAGCCAGTAAATAAAAAAAATGAAAAAAACGTCAGTCCTTCATTTGACCATCTTCTAATTACTGTTAACCGAATCACGCCGTCAAAGAGGCGGACAAAATATATAGTCTTCAAAACGCCCGTTTCCAGCCTATAAGTACAACTATTACACAAAAATAGATCAAAGCTAAGATATTTACAAAATATATAGTCAAACATTAGGTCCTTCTTCCGAAAAAACTAGGATTGCATAAAATATTTACCCAATTCCGTTTCCAGCCTATCAAAATCACCAATCAGAACAAGGTGTTATTATTTCTAACGACGGTATGGATACATGTAGATTAATTGTTATTCACCCACTTTAAATTCTTTTAGAGAAATTATTCAAGCTAAATCTTCAAAAAACAAATCTATGTCTGTGATAAGTACAACTATTACTATCAAAGCATATAAAAGCACAAAAGTCTAAGATATTTACATTGAAATGATATCTAAACTTAATTCTCCTCTCTCTCTCTCTCTCTCCCCCCCCCCCCCCCCCCCCCCCCCCCCTTTTTTTTTTTTTTTTTTCTTTCTCTCTCTCCCATGTCCTTCTTCTCTGTCTCTTTCTTTACCAAAAACTAAAGGATTGCATCCTTCAAATGACCTGTCTGCTTGTGTGTCTGATGTACAATCTTGGCATTATTCTTGATAGATAAAGATTTCCATCCTGATTCTTATAACTTACATGTTAGGGACATGAGTGATAATATCAGTCATTCATATAACGTCCCATTAAAGGTTTTAGTTCCAATCTAGATAGGTTTTCTTTTTTTCATATTTTGCGTACATTGTCCATTGATGATATAATGCGCATACCTTAATGTAGTAGTTGTGAATCGTTCCTCAAATCCTTTGACTTTGAATTCATTCTTATCATAAATTTTCAAAATAGTTTGCATTAGATATTAATCCCTATAAATGGATATTTATATAGAATAACATTGATTCCAAGCCATTCTATTTCATTTTAAATTGAAATGTTAATAATGCTATTTGAGTTTCAAATGATAACTACCAGTAAGTTTGGATATTTGCAATGATAATGCACTAGTATAATTTCGATATGATATGGCATTAATTCAAGATCAACTAAGACCACTGTAAGACAATCAGGGTCTTTAAATGATTATTACACATAAATGTTGTTATTTTGACAATAATTTCTTTGAATATCACTGCGTTTTTTATGTACAATGTATGCATATGCTGCAGGGGTTCTGTATTTACCTGACACAGGAGATAAGGCCATTGACCTGTTCACTGGTTTCGTCATTATAATCCTGACACGCAACAACTGAATATATTCATTGCCAACTTCCATTGATCTCACATTCACAATTACTGTAAACAGCTGTAAATTAATGAAAAAACCTTGTCGGAGTCGCCCTTGTATTCCGCATCTCGTTAATGGTATTAGTGTGAAGCTCTACACCTCTCGAATAGTTCTTGATGTGTAGATTATTATCATAACAGCTGATAAATGTAGATTTAATTATTGTAACTAGCGAGAACTAAAACCTCTAGAAAATAATTAATGTAACAAAGAAAAGCGATGTTTAGACCTAACCAAGTGAAGTCATGTCCCATTCATACACTCGCCATACTTTACACATCGTTAATGTATCTATTATGAAAAATGGCTGACTAGTTTACAATACAGTACAGTAGCTGTTTAAAGCTAACGAAAATCCCCTAACTCCCAATAAAACAAATACTTTATATATAAACATTTACAAATTTATGGTGAATTATCAAACAAAAGAAGAAAATGTCAACTTGTTAATCAATCACAATTCAAACCGGAAACTTATCAAAAATTAATATCAAGAAAGGAAATATTTACACTGAGAACACTAAAACAGTAAGAAGAGAATGTGTTCCGACAGGGTGGTGTAAGTCTATATGTTATTTTTTGTAATCAACTGCGATATATTAACCCTATTCGTTGAAGAAGCAATGGTCATATTTTCTAGAAATGGATTATTTGAAATATTATAATCGTAATAGTCAAGCTAATTAATATCAAGAGATCATTTTTTTCTTTATTCCATAGATTTTTCCTTTTAATACAGTAAACATTTTGTGCACTTTATCTTACCTCACTTTTTTTGCTACTCTCTCTCTCTCTCTCTCTCTCTCTCTCTCTCTCTCTCTCTCTCTCTCTCTGACATTTTGATGGTAATTTGATATCTTCCTATGTTATGCTCAATAATTATCGATATAGCAATCAACACTTCAAATAAATTTACACTTCTATGTGAACATAGAAACCATTAAAACACCTATAGAATTTGAGCCTTACCATAGGAAATTGATATGTTGTTATCATCAGATGTAGACCAGGTACACGTAACAGTCGGTCTTAATTGCTAATGAAAAAACCAACTGCCTTAAAGTACACACAACAGTATCGATCTGTAATACAGAACTAAGTGACCTAAATGCACTTGTAAACTGTAAAGCAAAGCATAACACCACTATAGCAGCTCTCAGCTTTCAATGCCGTGTAAAATGAATTATACGCACCAACAAGTACATTCAAGTATGTTCTTACTAATTGATTTCTTATTATCTGAGTTTCTAACATATTTAGTATTTTGCATACGTCTAGTGTATAACCTATTACCAATTATCTTTGCTGTGCAGTTAGCTATACACGACATCGCATATATGTAAAGGAATATCAAGGCTTTAGTTTGACAACTCATGGTCGAGAAAATATCCGGTTGTTTAATATGTATTTTTCACTTTAACAAACATTACATATAAAGTTTTTTTTATAAGGCTATGTGTGGTTACGCGTGATTATGTGGCTATATGTGGTTTATGTGAGGTTATGTGGGTGCTTAATGTGTGGTTTTGTTAGGTAATATGGGTACATGTAGGTATATGTGTTTATGTGTGGTTATGTGTAGGTATGACGCTATGTGTAGTTATGTGTTGTTATGACGCTATGTGTAGTTATGTATGGTTATGACGCTATGTGTAGTTATGTGTAGTTATGACGCTATGTGTAGTTATGTATTGTTATGACGCTATGTGTAGTTATGTGTGGTTATGACGCTATGTGTAGATATGTATGGTTATGACGCTATGTGTAGTTATGTGTAGTTATGTATTGTTATGACGCTATGTGTAGTTATGTGTGGTTATGACGCTATGTGTAGTTATGTATGGTTATGACGCTATGTGTAGTTATGTGTAGTTATGTATGGTTATGACGCTATGTGTAGTTATGTGTGGTAATGACGGTATGTGTAGTTATGTATGGTTATGACGCTATGTGTAGTTATGTGTAGTTATGACGCTATGTGTAGTTATGTGTGGTTATGACGCTATGTGTAGTTATGTATGGTTATGACGCTATGTGTAGTTATGTAGTTATGACGCTATGTGTAGTTATGTGTAGTTATGACGCTATGTGTAGTTATGTATGGTTATGACGCTATGTGTAGTTATGTATGGTTATGACGCTATGTGTGGTTATTTATGGTTATGACGCTATATGTAGTTATGTATGGTCATGACGCTATGTGTAGTTATGTGTGGTTATGACGCTATGTGTAGTTATGTGTAGTTATGACGCTATGTGTAGTTATGTATGGTTATGACGCTATGTGTAGTTATGTGTGGTTATAACGCTATGTGTGGTTATGTGTGGTTATGCGTGGTTATGTGTAGTTATGTGTGGTTATAACGCTATGTGTGGTTATGTGTGGTTATGTGTGGTTATGTGTGGTTATGACGCTATGTGTAGTTATGTATGGTTATGACGCTATGTGTAGTTATGTGTGGTTATGACGCTATGTGTAGTTATGTGTAGTTATGACGCTATGTGTAGTTATGTATGGTTATGACGCTATGTGTAGTTATGTGTGGTTATAACGCTATGTGTGGTTATGTGTGGTTATGTGTGGTTATGTGTGGTTATGCGTGGTTAGGTTGTTAGGTGGTTATGTGGTTATCTTATCTTCTTCCTTCCTTTTTTTGACCTCTTAAAAACATGGTAAAACATCTTACTCATATCAATTTTCCTGAAAATCTCGGCCTTTCCTGTTTATTGTATTATTTTTTATTTATTTATTTTCATGAGTTTTTTGTTGTTTTTGGCCATGAAAAATATTCAGACCATCCGAAATAACCTGTAGGTAAAATGTCTTGTACAGCAAACTACATTACCTTTTAATGCATCACAACGGAAATGTGTCATTCCGAATTAAATTCATTGTTTAATTTCAGCTCGATGACTATTGGTTTTAAATGAATTTGTTATATTTTCAGGTGAATCCATGTCAGAACTCGGGGACATGGAATGGTGTTTCTTGTCTTTGTCCAACAGGTTGTAGTGGAAAGTTCTGTCAAACCTGCTACACAGGTAAGAAATAATTACACATGTAAGACGTATACTAAGTAGGAAATGGATGTACAGGTAAGATATTTATACACGAAGTATGATGTTTTGTAGAATATTTGCGTGTGGACTATTTTTTGTGACGGCGTAATTAAAGTCGTGATTCGGTTTAAGTTTTAACAATTTCAATGTTGTCACGTTGTTGACGTAGTTACACAAGGAAAACTATGGAAGTTTTGGATGGATTTCAACGTAACGGTGCATACATTATCATCACAAATTCGAAATACGTGATCTTCGATTATATATTTCAATGAGTTTCTTGACCATGAGTAATTAGGAAGTAAACACAGACAACAACTCTTTATTTATAAAGAAATGAATCACTACATATTCATATCATCTTTAAAATGTTAAATTTCAAAACATTGCCAAATGTAGGATTGAAGCATTTTTTCAAACAAAGTTACAGTTTTTGGTTGCTATGGAGTTTCGAGACCTTTAAGTCAAATAAACATAGTATTTTTAACTTCATTCTCTTTCTAATAAAAAACGAAGACTTGCTGGATTGCCTCGAAAGGAACCAAGACTGTCTGTTAATCACGAATAAGATATAAGAAAATACATGTTTCCTAATGCACATATCTGACGCCTGTACATCGGTACAGAAGAACGATGTTCTTCTTTAAAATACTTTCTTTCATCTAACATTTAAAAAAATCGTTACCTTAATAATAGATCAATTTGTAATTGTTGGTGTCTTTTGCTGTAGTATTAGACAGGTTAAATAAAAATGGTAACTAAATCTCATTGAAGCAGAAAACTGTAAATATAGGGATTGGTTTTCACTTCGTTACATATTCTGCTTGGCCAGTTATTCAGTTTAAATAAATTCATTAGCAGTAATCACCGAGAACCTAAACAAAACAGCAATGTACTTCAACATAAAGAACAAGTAACCGCGAGAAATAAAAGTAGACAGGTATTAAGTATATATCGATACATTTTCAAGACACATGTGCACATTGTTTTGCTGTTACTGATACAAAAAGCTATTTTTCATAAGATGAATTCCAAGGAAGTGTCGTTATTTTCTATAAATTGAAATTTTGCTTACGTTGATTCGATGAAGGTTAACAACCAGATGATATAGTTTAGGTGACTGTCCATTATTGAAAAATTTTGATAATTATTTTACGTCACTAAGCATAAATATATATCCGGTGTTAAGCCTCTTTAACATCATACTTCTGCATTTCAAAGCATCCAATTGTCCAACAGGCGATATAATGTGACAATGGTTTATAGTGGAGAGGGCTCTTATACGTTTGTGCCCAATCCATTTGCTTTTGTAATAAAATATGTTTAAACTAAAATGGTTTATTTCAACAAACCGTAACGTGACAAAAATGAGTTTTATAAACTACATGAATGCGATGAATAGACATGATTCAGCAATATTTTTGTTACAAAATAATGTGATTGAAGATGATATCGCTTAACATTAGTTTTTTTTTTTTTTTTTTTTTCTAGTGAAAACGATTTTACAGTTAAAGGGACTTCATGGTTAGATGTTAATTTCATAACTGATAAATAACATGATAGCATTTTACAATCTGATTAAATTTTGCACTTTCGTTTGGTTATAACAGTAAAATATACAAATGAAATATAACTGACCCAACACTAATTCATATCATTACTATTTGAAAAGTGTAAACAATGTCTTTGCGCGAAACACAGCAAATTTTGTGAACAGTCTAAGATAGCAGGTGGTAAACACTGCTAGTGGACTTTTTAAGTCCCCGAGGTTTGCCGTAAACACGTTGTAATCCATTCGAACAGTGGCATGGTTCCGAACATACACATGACACTTTTCCAAAATTATAGAATATATGAAAATTACGAAGTTTATTTAAATATGAGGCCGCTGCTTAGATTAGTATCTGTATTGAAATTTTGTGTTTCAGATTGTACTGATGGATTTAACGACGGACTCACAGGCACCGCTATTGTTACATATATACAACCATTAAATTCACCAACAGCATTCAAAGTGTTATGCAACTTTGACAATGCAGTCACATACATTCAGTATCGTCGTTACGGAAATATCAGTTTCAATAGGGACTGGCAGTCGTACGTTGACGGTTTCGGTGATCTGGAGGGAGATTTCTGGTTAGGCAACAAGTATATACATCTCATCACTGATCAGAAGTCCTACACCTGTGGTGTGCGTTTGTATGATAATACTAATGTTTGGCGATTTGACGGTTACTCTGAGTTTAAGGTTGACTCGGAAGTCAACTCTTTTACAATCACTTATACACCTTTTTTCACCGCCTCGGGGATGTCTCCTTCCGATAGCTCGAAAGACTCACGAAATCAACCATTCAGTACGCATGACCGGGATCATACTGGCTGTGCCACAACTGAACAAGCGGGTTGGTGGTATAACACCGGATGTACTGACGGAGCTAATGTTAATGGTGTAATGCCATTTGATTGGTCATCAATTACAGGTGTGACAAAAACTGGATTAGGGCTTTACTAAAATATATTTATATTGCGCACGAGAAACCGTACATGGGATCTGTATCGGCGGCTTTCTCCTCTGTAACGGTTGGCCATAGAGAATATCAATAATTATTATACCTGTATTTGTGGTGTAAACGATTAACAGAATTAGTATTTCGAAATCATTGATTTTTCCATGTGTGTATTCTATCTAATCATATTGATATTGGTATAATGATGATCACAACTATTTATATATCTGTGGAAAAGGCGAAAAAAAACTCTACAATTCAAAAGTTCAGAACATAACAACCAACCTACCTCTAATCCCACATCATTACCCTATAAGTGGAAACAACAAATCAACCACAGCCCCAATTAGAATATAGTATTATAACCCAGATCAGCTTGCTTACCTTATTCAAGGCTCCCCGAATAGCCTCCCTTTATATCATCTAGGGACATGAGGTCCATGATCTAGTTCTAATTAACACTCAATATTGGCATAAAATATGCAAAGAGGTTTGGGGATATTTTTCCAACATTTATTTACTAAATTACACCCTTTGGCTTGATAACAAGGAAAGCCCACAAGGGGGATTTCATTTCATTCACTACATGTATTACCCTTGTGATAGTTCTAGTTTTGTTAATAGTAGTATTCTCACATATTCTGCAGACGAAACTTATGTTTGCGTTGAAGATGCTATTTCTCATATAAAGCATTGTGAGACAGCGTGTGTTATGGCTGAAACAGACATCAAATTTGTATTCAGAGTTATAATAGTATACCTCTTATACAAGTTGACTTATCAATAGTCAGTGCTATTATGTCACCTGTTTACTGATGGGTTTTTTTTCGTTCTTCATCTGGATTTTAGCATTTCGTTAGAATGGATAGGTGTCACCAAATTAGGTTATGATACTGTTATCCATATCTTGGATGATCTCATGTTTGTGGAGGAGACATAAGAAATGGCAAGACTTTGCAATAGTTTATCTTGATGTGCAGCTCAAGTTGGCCTTCCATTGTAGAGGAAAAACGCTCTTTCTCTCTGCCAACAGATGTCATTTGTGAGCATAAAACTTGATTGTGTGACATATACAACGTCAATGTTGTAGGAGAGGCAAATGTAACAACTATTCACGCTTTACTTATAATAAGTCAAAGTGCAAACTTTGTAAAGATTTGCAATCGCTGATTGGCTTACCTATAATAGCTTGTGAAGTTTACAAGATTGTCCCTTTCAATAACGCCTGGTAAATTTTATCATAGGTATTATTTAGCCTAACCATTACAAAAGATTAACATTAGAGGCAAGCACTGATTTGTGAGGTCTTTCACATTATCTTTAAACGTTCAGTGGTCCTATCATTTTCGTATCATTTTCTAACCGCACATTGGTCCTGTACACCATTGTCACCTTTACTATCGTAAGTCATCATGTTACCCGTTTATAATGTTATCATATTTTGTTTGCATTGCATACTTGAGGTTACCTGTGGTCAAACCACTCCATTCTATTTTACAATAAAAATGAAGCCCCCATGTCGGTAATGATTAGACAGCTAGTAAAGATCCGCTACTCATTTCGAACTTCAGAAGTAGGCATCTTGCAGGCCGACGCAACATTATTGCTAACTCCTATATTTGTTGGAATTTGCCTGGTTTAAGACTTTGGCATCACCGGCAGATCCTTTCCCATCTGCAACTCCAAATCATCTTGTACCCAGCCTTTGAACAATTATTGACGTCCTCCCTGGCCCTATCAAATCGCACTATTTATGACAAAGCACTGAAAGTCTTTCAAGAATTTGCCTTTGCCACTTTTTGTTGCTCATTTATTTTATCAAAGGTGTTCATCAAGGACAACTTCCACTTATTGGTCTGCAGTTTCATATATTCATAAGCTTATGCACCTACTTAACTTCTTGAATTTTAGTAAAAAAAAAAAAAAGAGTTGTGAACGACATGTTGTTAATCATCTTCCACTGATATAGGACTCGTTTCTGTTTCAGACAGTATCAGACAGGTGATAGCTCTTACAACCTGTTTATCTTATCGACGGATATTATGTAAATCAATGTTTCTATTAGCATTTAATGTTTTTACCGCGTTGATGAATTTACTATGGCGGAACCTACTGGAAACAATTAGCTCTGTCCTGAGCGAAATTAAACATATAAATTTTGATTTAATAGCTCGAGTATCCGTCAGTCGTTTTTAGCATATTACAAACTCAATGTCTGTTTCTACAGCATTGTGTGACCTCTTGCATATACGCATATCACATCCTTGTTCTCTCGTTATAGCCACACCTGTATTACACTTCCTTTTCGACAAATAGTTACACACACAGATGTTTGGCTTTTAAGACCACTTTAGAATTATTCAGTGAATGGAACAAGGCGAAAGTGTGCTATTGGTCGATGGCATTCATCGGCATTGTGTTAAGTAGGTTCACTTAAAAAAGCTATGCTTATTTGGGCTGGCTTAACCATTGTTTTTTACAGACATACACGTTTTTAAACTGTTAACTATTTCAAGGAAAACTGTATGACAATTTTGTTTGTTTCAAGGATCGCTTGTGAGGGTCGACTTCCAATTTTTAACACTGTAACTTATTAATGTCTTTCCCATGTAAGTATGTGTTAATTTACTGATAAATAATTTGCTTTTCAAGGATCGCTTGTGAGGGTCGACTTCCAATTTTTAACACTGTAACTTATTAATGTCTTTCCCATGTAAGTATGTGTTAATTTACTGATAAATAATTTGCTTTTCAAGGATCGCTTGTGAGGGTCGACTTCCAATTTTTAACACTGTAACTGATTAATGTCTTTCCCGTGTAAGTATGTGTTAATTTACTGATAAATAATTTGCTTCTCTTTTTACTTTTGAATTCGGAAAAGTATTCATTGGAAATGTTCACAATGTATAGAACGTCTTCATGATAATAAGGTGTGAGCAATTGCAGAGGAAATAATGTTAATGACTGGCCAAAATGAAATGCTCACTATTGTACAAGACATAACGTTCACTATTGTACAGAACATAAAATGCTTAAGATTGCACAAGCCATAATGTTTATGATTGTACAGAATAAAAAGCTCAAGAATTTACAACACAGAGTTTTTAAACTGTACTGAGCATATTTATGATAGTACATTATCTGATGTTCACGATTGTACATAACATAATGTTCACGTCCAAATCAAAGAAGAAATATACGGAAGACGATGTCATAAAAATGATCGAGTTTCTGGTTTATAACATCTTCGTCCAGTTTGGTTTTAAGATCTTCCATCAGACTTTACCGACTTGGATTCGTTTTCATACGAACCTGAAGTAATTAAAGAACTTATAAAAACAGGTCACAAAGACTTGCAAAATTTCACTTTCATATATTGATGACGTCTTGTTTTTAAATAACAAGAATATATATTACCAAGTCCATCGTACATACACACCGGAAATGGAAATCAAATAATCTTCTAGGTTAGCTGCTTATCTCGATCTTTTCCATCAACAAAATTAACATACACAACTTTCCACCAAGCAGTAAACGTGATAAACGTGATTTCTATTTCCCTAATGTGAATTTTTCATTTTCGGATAGCAAAATCTCTACATCAATAATCAAGGGACTGTTGGTATCATCATGTTTTCGTGCAAGAAGTCGTCAATTGCCAGACAAACTCGTAACACAGCGTCGATGAAGCATAAGACACTAACTCTTCCGGAATACTTGGTCTCATTCTCCTAGTACTTGTTCAGGAGTTTCCGTGTAAATGTTTCTTTTGCTCATATTCTGCCCTAATGATTATCTTGACGTGTTAGTATTTCCTTGGTGTTTTTTTTTCAGCATAACATAATGTTTACGATTGTACAGAATAGAATAATCACCGTTGTGAATGGTAGCATGAGTCGTATGTGTGTTATGAATTGTTCACAATTAATATCATATACTATGGATTCGTCATATTTTAAAGAAAATGAAGTAATGCAAATGTATCATATATAAATTCGACGACAAAAATGTACCACATTAAATTGATTTGAAATGTGTTTACTTACAAATCAATTATAGTCAACAATGTGATGAAATTAATATATAAATATTCACATACAAGATACAATGAAAGACAGGGAACACGAAATGTTAGCAATGGTAGCTATTTTCTCAGTCAAGTAAATGTATAACCCATTTTGTATTTCGTACAGCAAAATTTGAATTCTTCCTCTGTTATATAATGTATCTTTTTAACGATGTATTTCATGCATAACACACAGATTAAAATGTGTATACAATGAGAGTTTTATGAAGCAGTGTAATAAGGTAACAGTACGCTGATCACATTGTAAATTCTAGAAATTCATGCATAACACACAGATTGATTGATATGAGAGACGAATGAAACGAATTGTATTTATAGATATCACTTATTTCAGTTTTGAATCTAAGCACTTCAATCTAACAAGACACAAATTAATGTATTCTCATCTACATTTGTTGCAGTAGTCACATCGAATATAAGTGACTCCCTATAGTTTAAAACTTTACTCCTTGGCGACACGTGACGAATACTCCATTGATTAGAAACATGAAATATATCCCAAAACTTAAATATTTTCGCGTCGTCAAATATTTCTTTTTTACTATATGAAGTCACATTTAGTGATACTATATCTGATTCAGTGCTTTACGATAACACACTGACATGTTTTTCGTACTACTACACTACCACAGGTTTCCATTCTGAAGGTTCTAGGGAATGCTGAGGTGTTAGCAATGGCCCTTCATCTGGCGATTTTACTGTTGGATTATCTTTCTTTTCATCATCACTGGCTTCCGGTTCCTGCTGAATGTTCGGTTTCGGTTTGGTATTCTCCGGACGTGGCGTATTCTCAACCTCGTTTTCACTGGGCTGAGTTTCAGGCTTGTCTCCAACCGTCGGCCTTTGTAGAGTTTCATCATTTGGCCTCGGTGTTTCGGTGACGAAAGTGCCTTCGCGTGCACTGAGTTGGCCCATTTT